TAGGAAGTCTGCTTCAGTACTCTTGGAGAAACCTCACAAAGAGAGGGTTTGTTTCATCGTTTGCCAAGAAACTATCTGAAGCCACAATTAGTCATTATATTGAGGTAATAAAAGAGGTACGTTGGGTTAGTGGGGACGGAATTTATAGCATTTTCCGCTACCAACGACAGTTGTAAATAATATTCTTATTAAGATTCTTGTGATACTAAGCTAGTTAGACAGATGTGGTTATTTTTATTTTTCTTATTTCAATCTTTTTTTTAGATGTATAATTCTTTTTCACCTAATGTATTACTGCAAAACAATCAACCTTTGCCGCGTTTTATTTAAAACACTATATTCAAACTTCTATTGCACATTTCTGAATTGAAAAACAAGAACATGTTAGCACACTTAAATAATTTTATGCAAACAAAAATGTTGCATTATATGAATATTGAATAATAAACAAAAAAAAGAGTAAAGAAATACCTGGAAGAATAAATGCAGAAGAAATACCGGGAAAAGAACGAAACTTGTTACATTTTTATGAATTTAAGAGCCGAATCGATTCGAGCAGTTGTGCCCGAATTTAATGTAATTAAATACCTCTTCGAAAACAAATAGAGATAAAAAAATAAATTTTGAAAATAACATATAATCTATCTATTCAATTTTAAGCTTACGTAAAGTATCTCTCTAAACATCGTACTTTTTTGACTAATTGATTTGAATACTTAAATAGCTCTAAAATTTTCTTAATACCCAGTGGTTAAGCTTATCATATATGTGATATTGTTAAAAACAAATCATTATTTTCCTAATAGACTTTTTTTTTAAAACGTCAGTAAAAGTACCTCACAAAAGGAAGGCTTGTTCACAAATTGCTAAAATATTAACTCATTCGGTTAATGGGGTTGGAATTTTCCCCTGCCAACAAAGATAGCAACATTCTTAAAATTCTAAGCTAGTTAGGTACATGTGGTCATATCTTAGATGATCTTTTTTAGGCAAAGAGGGTGCAAACAAGATTTATTTTTATTTTGAAAAAAGTTTATTTATTTAGATACTGTACTATATTATAATTGAAAACTATTTGAAAAGTATGAAATAAAAAATAAATTGCAACCTTGTTTAAGAAGACCAGAAAGTGTCTTAAAATTTATTTCACTATGTTGATAAAAATTATTGTAAAAAAATTATATTCTTCCAGATATTACTCTAAATAACTCCTATAATTATAAATTATTAATAATATTTTAAGTTTTGTACCTTTTGCTTTCAAATTGTGAAATTTTTAAGATACTATTTACATTAAAATAGTCATAAAATTATATCCCATCGAATTATTGTAAATATTTAAAGCATCTTATCCATATGAAATTTCTTGTGCAGCATAATTCCATAAGAAATTATTTTTAAAGAATAAAAAAAAAAAAACTTTTTGGGGTAAATAACTCTAAAAAAAAGTTAGGAAATTGTGTTTCGTAAATCATTCCTCATATGCTACATCTAAGAATGCAGTAGCTTCTATTTAGTTTCCTTTTTTTTCTTTTTTAATTTTTCTTAAATTAAAGAAATAATGTATAATGTTTTATTTAGAATAGTATTAGAATGTCCTATTCAGACCTTTATAATGTCCGATTTAGAATTGTAGCTTTTCGTTTTCCTTCGTTAAAACAGGTTTTCGAATAATAGAAATGCATATCTTTTAGATTTGTTTTAAATTCTGTAATTTTAGATTTTAAAATAAATTATTTTTTAACTGTCTTTAAAACATTAATTAAAGATGAGCTTTCAAAGTTAATACGTTTTTTTAAAAAAATGCTTAAAGAATGATATTGTTTGAGAAATTAAAGAATGTGCATTACAAGATTACTGAATATAAATTGAAGATTCACTAAATCATTTTTAATATTTAAAACATAATAAATTTAGGATATTGTGATGGTTAAAATTTATAGAAAAAGTAGGAAAATTGCATTCATAATTTGCTGAAAACGATATAATGTTAAGGAATGAGAAGAAATTATTATGAATAATATGGTAGAGGAACGATTGAAAAATTATTCGAAACGTGATATTGATTTCTATGAAGAACTTATTTTTTTAATGTTAACAAGAAAGTTTTATCCTCAATTACATTTTCTTGAGGCTGGTTTGAAATGCAGTGGTCATTTTTCTTTCCTTTTCATGGGAAAATTCAAGCAAAAGAAAAAAATTTAAAATTTCCAAACTATTAGAACAATTAAAAAATTTAATTTGCGAATATATACCAAAACGTTTTCTTTTTACTTTTCAAGTCCAAAACAATCTACATTTAAACGTTTGCTCTATAATTAAATTTAAATCTGATCAGATAATTAAAGTTTAATCATTCTTTCTTGTTCAATGCAATGAAGAAATAGTTTAATTAAGTTAGGTGCTTTTTATTTGAAGAAAAAAAATGGTATAACATTAAACTTCATTTTATTTAACTTTCAGAAAAACTGAATTTTTTTAATCTGTAGAAGAAAAATTTTTCTCTTTTTTTTTTTAAGAAAAAAGTATTAAATGTTTATATAGGGCATTCTATACAAATACGTTTTCGTTATATGAATTTATATGGAGCATTCTTTCTGGTGAAAACTCCTTTTTTTCCTGTTTTTTATATTACTGCAGAACTTTCATATTACTGCAGAATTGAATTACTAAAAATATTTTATCTTTCCTTTTAATCCTTATAACTAAAAATATTTTATCTTTACTTTTAATCCTTACAACTAAAAATATTTTATCTTTACTTTTACTTCCCTATAGAATAAAAATATTATTTCAGCAATTTAAAGTGCATTATGTTCAGTGCGTAAAAAAAAGGAACAGCTTTTGTTCTTATGATCGGATTTTCACCCAGTAAGGTTTAGTATTAGGGGTTCGAGGGGGTGACCTCAAATATGCTAATTCTTTAAAGCAGACGATATTTTAGAATCAGCAAACACAAAATTGTATTTTTTCTGCATGAATATACTTTTTTTTAATGTATTATGGTTTCTGACCTTCAAAAAATAAGTAGTAGCCAATAATTAGAAAATACAGAGCTGTCCAAAACTAGGACCTCTTAATGTTAATTTTACTTACTGCATACTTCCCCATATCTTTGGAATTTTTTAAGCAAACCAAAAAAAAATATTTCACACAATAATAAAATTCGTCTACTCAAAGATAGTTCCACATAAGAAATAATTTTGAATAATTATTATTTTTTTATAATATTTATTAATAGTCGAAAAAAATTTGAATTTCAAAGCATACAAGACTTTGTATCATTTTAAAGAATACAACTTTATATGGTCAGATGGAATGGGAAAATTCTTGAGAAATCGAATTGTCAATATCTGATTTATTTTAAATTTGATTTCTTAGGAATTATTCGACCGATTTCATTCAAATTTGATACTTTGCCATATAGAATTACTTTCCCTAAAATAATGCAAAAATTTGGATGCTTTGCAATTCAAGATATTATCGACTAGTATTAAATAATGACAAACAATAATTAATCATTAAAAATTATTTTTGTGTGGAATTATCTTAGGATAAATGAATTTTTTAATTGTGCGCAAAACATTTTTAATTCGCAGAAAGTAATAATACGCAGAAAGTAATTAATTGGTCGAAAATTTAGACCACCCTCCTGACCAAACTATTGAGAACTTCCAAATTGTAGCAAATCTATATATTTTGGGGGTTAGAAATCATAATCGAAAAAAAAAGGTACGCTTATTCTGAAAAAGTACTTATTTGTGTCAGATTTTGTAATCTTCACTATCTATTTAACATATTTAAGGTCATCCTCTCAAACCACTAAGATCTAGTCCTAGTACATGAAAATCTTATTAGATAAATATAAACGGACAGTAAAATATAGAAAATATCATTAGACCACTCAGCATAACTTTTGATCTAATGATCGTAATTAGTGCAGACTACTTTTAAATTAACGAAATCAGACACAAAAACGTACTTTTTTCTGTACTAACATACTTTTTTTTCTGTTACGACGCCTTCAGATTTCTGACTCCCAAATTATATGGGATAATCGCAGACTGAGAAATATGGTCACAATCGTTTGATCAGGAGAACTGTCTAAAGTTTAGAGCAGTTAATGTTAATTTTACTTTTTGCATTTTTCGCCATCTATAGTTTTTCGGAAGTTCCGCTGTTACATGACATAGGGATAAGCTACTTTCATAACTGATGTGAGTTTGCAATGACCAGCGTTGTCTATGCTTATTCTGAAAATAGCGCAAAACGTCACATTATTGTAGAAATTAAAAACATTTGTGGTTTAAATTTTTAATATTTAAAAACTTACTCTAATGCTGAATTATTTGAGCTCATGAAAATTTGCAAAAACTGAGAATAAAACAATGATTTTGATAAATTCCTTGTAGGTGAGAAAATGTCGCCAAATTGGCGAAAAAAAAGTTTAATTTTTAAAATATTTAAGTTATTTGTCTGTTCTAAAGCCCAGATATATCTTCAAGGCAAGATAATATAGTTTAAATTCTTCACTTTGCTTCAAACATAAGGCACTTAAACTGCTGCTTTTTTTTTTCTTTTTCTTGGCTAAAGAGCTTCGAAAAACCATGTTAGGTTTATATGTTGTACAAGATAATTTTGAAAGGTGATTAATCTGGTCGCCAAAGGAGACTATGATAATATGAAAGGCTTGGGGCAATAAAGTGATAAGTCACTTTTCTTCCCCAAAAGTGACACTTATGCATTAATTTGATCCTTACTATTGTTTTCAGATAGTTGTTCTAAATGTTTCCAAAACTTCAGCTAGATGTCAGCACAATACAGAGAAACATTTTATGAATGCCAATAACGTTTTCTTTCTTTCTTTCTTTTTTTTTTTTTTTAAACCAGAAGAATTTGATGATCTTTAGAACAATTTGAAAAATGTGACTTGTCACAACATTGCCCCAGAATCTCAATGTATTAAATAAAACCATACACATTAAATCACAACAGTGGCATTTTTATTCATGACATTTTTATTTATAAAACAAAATTCTCATAATACGCATTTGCTTATTATACACAGACGATTTCTAGGATAAATAGGCTATACAATTTCTTTCCTATAAGAAGAGACGCAGTATACCAGTTACAATATAACTATTTCATTTGAATACGCGTTCCACAAAAAGTACCCAGTTCTTTTAACTGGGAACAGGTATTAAAGTTCACCATTGGAAGGATTACAAAAAGTTACGGAAAAAGCAGAAACAAAAACACCCTTTTTATGGAAACATTCAATCTTACAAAGTTGACACAAAACAAAAATTGGAAGTCTAAACAAAATAACAATTTTTTCTTATGAAATTTCACGGGTAGAGAGTCTGGTCAGTTCTTCTCTCTGAAAAGAAAAGAAAAAAAAATATAAATAATTGAATTAACAAATATCCAAATATAATACAGTATGTAATAAGTGCTATACTGCTTAAATTACAGATAAAATTACGTTAAAAATATCTTCACCCTGATTGCAGCATCGGTAAAATCCAAAAAATTCCGAAGCTGTAAAATTTTATAACGTAATTTTTACAGTAATATTTATTTAATAACAGTGTTTCAAAAAATATTGCAAAAAATTGCGTTAAATCAGTTTTTCTTCTTCTTTTCATTTTATAAAATTTAAAGGTTAAAATGGATTTTACGGCAAAAAGTACTGGCACCATGTGCTCTAGAAAACCGTTGTTCATATATGTGATGATAATAAAGCAATAAACAGCAAGAAAATTGTCTTTATTAAAAATAGTAAAACAGCAGAATTTTTTTTTTGTAAAATTATTAAAGATTAATTCTCAATTCCAAATGTAATAAAACAGTAAAAAAAATTAATCAATCAAGAGAATAATAAAACTGTTGAAAAAATTATTTCACCTATCAAAAGATAATTTTTGTAAACAATAGGATATTAGATAACGAAAGAGCGCAAAGCTTTAAAAAAAATTTACGTTAAAAGAAATTGGCATTGATTTGGTTCTGGACTTAATGCGTATAGCTTTGTATCAAAACTTTCATTGAGAAAATAACAATTGAAGTGGAACAGTTATAAAAACTTTTATAAACGATTTCAAAATGACATATTGATTTATGTTTTTATTATATCATTTATAATATAATCCTACTATGACATATGAAAAGTAAGCAAAATATATTTCCAGATAAGTTATTTCTCAAGCAGTGATAGGATCATAAAATTAAACTTAAGCTTCTAAGTCATTTTTAAAGTAACCCCGCAGTCCAAATAAACGGACTAGCATAATAAACAAAATGTATGAATATGGCAGCAAATAATTCAATTTTTGAATTATAGCGTCAGTTTCAATTTTTTTTAGTGAAATAAAAGCCGTAGCACTGAAACGAAAACAAACAGTGGGTCCTCAGCAATAAACCATCGAGCTCATTTTGTATATATGAGCCATTTATTCTAAAAACAGCAAACGCAAAAGATTCGGAAGCCATTTAAACTGATCGAAAGCTATAACTGTAATTCACAAAAATAGCTTAAGCAAGATAAATAGAAAAGAAACATTTAATTTTGACCCACGCGTTACTTTCCAAAACTAATGAAATTATACTCGCAGGGAGGACATGTTTTCCAAGAAACTATTAAACATATGTTTGTCATCTTTTTCAATTTGGAACTTTGAACTCCGGGCATTTAATCGAAGCAACTAAAACTTAGCACTGTCGGCTAGAAATAATTGGATTTCAACTACAGTCAGGCTTTATCGATATATCCTGGGCCCAATATTTTATTAGTTGGTTCATATTTTTAAGATTTTTTCTGGAGTACAATTCTCATTTCAGAAGAGAACATACTGCGGTCGAAGTAGAATGTTTTTTCGCCCATTTCGTGTTCCATTTTTTTTCCTCCCAATTCATTTTGTACTGTTTAGAATTTTTTTTTTCTATTTGGTTCGAATAAAAGTCATCAACTAGAAACGTAGAGTTTCTTTTCATTTTGTTTGTTTTCGTTATGTTTTAGTTGATGCCATGTTTTCGCCTTTTGTTTGGAGTCGAGGGGGGTGGGAGAGAAAAATTCTGGAGGGGGGAGTAGCAGTTTCAATCTTTCATGTTTGTTCGTACCAGTACTTTTTGAAAGAGAACACATATTGAATTCCATTCTTTAATATTTTTTCGTCCGGCTATTATTATCTTTTTCTACTTAAGAAGGAAAAAAAAATATATCCATTCTCTAATGGATGCGGCTTTCAAAATTAAACTATCCAGTTTCTTTACTTATATTATTTGGTGAGTGAGTAAATTTAAAGACGGAAGATTACTAGAATGTTTTTAAGGGTTTCTTTTCTTAAAAAAAAATATTTTGGATTATTTTTCTTCAACTAATATTTTAGCTGCAATTTTCGTTTGATATTTATAACTGTGTTATTATTAAGAACTTTTCATTATATATTTATTAATAAGTATTTTTAATTAAATTGATATCAAAAAATTTTAAAGTAAAATATTTTTATTAAACCAAATATATTTTTCTCATCAGAAAACTCATATAGATAATCAAGATTCTTTACGAACAAAACTATCGCTGCAGAAATGATATATGGCACTAAGTCCTACCCAGATCAGTACCTATTTATAAGGCATGCTTCTGAAACTATTTTTTGTACCCTGCATATTTCTAGGAAATTTTGTAAAGAATCGTAAATTTAAGAAGCAGAGGAAACAGAGAAGAAATGAAAAGCATTCCACAGGTAATCAAACTGGTTTTTCTGCTTTCAGTTTTCCTCCGTATTCGTTACATTTCTAGAGCGGTTTTTCCATATCAATATTAATTTATGACCCCTGAAGTTTTTTGATTTACTTAATTTGTGGCAAGAAATCTAAAACTATACATTAAGGGCAGTAATTACGGAAAACTCAATGTTTCTAGATAAGTAATCTTAAATGCATTTCTTTTTTAACTTTAAAGTGGTAAACAATTGTAACTAAATTGAAAAGTGGGATAAATCAGTTTAAAATTTCAAATGTAAAAATTTTTCTTCTTAAGTTATTACTTGCATCACAAACAAATAAATCTGCATCCTTAAATTATTTGCACCCTGAAAAATATTTTTAGTTATACTGAAAATCCAATAAACACACTTTGGCATTAATAATTATCACAATCTTATTCATATCCAATCTATTTTACAACTCAAACAATCTTTGTTTTATGGAATATCATAATTTATTCAGTAAGAAATTAATCAAACAGACCTAAACTCTAATATGCAATCTAAATAAATATAGAAATGACATTTTATGAAATTCAAAACTTTGCTCAGAACACACACACCCACTGAAAAGAATCAGAGTCTAACTCAATTTAGCCTTCTTCCTCAAAGAGATAGAACACCACTCTCAGTTGCCACAATAAATTGGATTAAACGAAGATACTGACAACAGAGAGAGAACAGTTCGATCACAACAATAGATTCGGACAGAAAGTCCAAATGTTACTGTCGAATAGTTCTAATGAGATATGTAAGGTTGAATTACCAAAAGAGTGCCTTCTATATCGAATTTGTAAGAATTCTGATGAATAAAGTTCTGTAAGAGGTTTGTATAGAATTAGGATGCACGTTTTAAATGTTCGAATTTTTTTTTTTTTTTTTAAATTGGAAGCAAGTTTTAGTTTAATCTTTTGTAATCAGTATTTTCAGCTCAAATTTAGACTACGAGCTGAAATTACTTAATGGATAATAGTTTATAGTGGCGTTTCAAAGTAGAGATGCATATTGTTAATATTTGAAAAGCGAAAAAAGATATTCGAAAACTACCAACAAGGTTCAACTCAAATCCTGGCTAAAATTTGAGTTGAAAATAATTATACTATTATAGATTATGGTAAAGTTTAAGAGTTAGGATGCGTATTGTAAATGTTTAAAAAGCAAAATTATAAATAAATAAATAAATAATTAATTAGATATTGAATTTTTAAGTTTATTTAAATTCGTTGATTTTTTTTTCAATATCTAAATCGAATTCATTTTAATACATTTTTATGGAAAAGGAAATAACAGACATCATTAAAAAACGAGTGAGTGAGGCTGTGGGGCTCATGCAGATTTAGACTTGACAAATTCATGCTCAACGGCATAATTATAGCAATGTGGTCAGTACTGCGCATAATGCCGCCTTTACTTCCCTTACAGGCTTGTACCCGTCGATATGAGGCTGGGTGTGCTTCATGCCGCCATTAGGAATCGAACCTCAGTTCTTCACAATGGCGACTCAGTTCGTTCAGCAACTGAGCCTTTACGGTTCCTTGTGCATTAAGTACTTGTTCCAAAACTTGTTTATAAAAAAATACGCAAAAATTTTAATTTCAAGACGGAGAAAATATTTTGGTAAAATTACTGTACTGAATGGTACTGTCATTTCTGGTTCCAAAAGCAAAATATACGGTATTTAAACAGTTCATTTGATAATGTTTTCGTTCATATGTTACCGGTTTACTGGAAATTCTGCTTTTCAAATTATAGTTCTTATCACACATTTAATAAAAAGAATGAAACTGAAAAGTAAATTTAACCGAATAAATGGTTTTTATGCCATGCTCTAAGATACCCTGATAATATAATCAAATTTAACCACGTTTACAAAATTTTATAACATATGATAAAACCAAATTTTACTGCCAATTTTACCAAAGCGCTTCGGTAAAAATTCCCTAGCTTTTTAAGTATTCTCTTAGAGCCAGAAACACGGTAAATTTTACCATATTCTGGTAGCTTTGATCACTTTTTTTCTCAGTGTGCATTAAAAACAATTATGAAATCATCGCCTGTAAACATTTTGAAAAGAATTAAAATTAAAATCTTAATTTAATTATTTCATTCAAAATAAGCACCACTCAAAAGTCCTCATTTTATCCATACAATACCTTAACGCCATTCCTCGCCCAATGATTTGAAATTAAACTCTTAATTTCATCATAAGTATTAAAAACATAAAGAACAAAAAAAAATTATAACAATAAGATATCCCTTAACTCTCTTAAGGAGTCGGTAAAAGACCCGTTTTTAACTTTCATCTTTTTTTCTTAAGCGCCTTGTCTTCTACAATAAAGAACTTAATTAGGAGATAGACGATATTACGTTAAAAATGCGAAGGCATTTTTCGAAACTGCGCTCTTTAATAAAGGTTATTAAGAACAGAACGAGCGGATAATTATACAGTTAAGCTTCTTTTATTGCTCCCAAGCGATGTCCCTGTGATAATATTTATAATTGGTTTCGCCCCACGTAATTGGTCCTCGTGGGCTCCGCACATATTTGAATTTCATATTATCTTAGAACAACTCTTAAAAACAGAAAGATATCAAAAAATGTCAAGAGGTTCGAG